AAGCCTTTACTAAGTTATTGGAAGGTTACTTAGCGACGATTGCATATTGTTGCAAGTAAACTTTCACCATAAGGAAGTTTTTTTCGGCACAACCTAATTAATGTTAATCATTTAGCTTTCAGGCATTTGTTGTCCAACACCATTGGTGACGTAATTATCATGCGCCAGGAATACGGTAAGACCCACTGAAAGTGGAACGCGGGCCAGATTTGACATTTGAAGTAGAACCTAAAGCAGAATTGGTCAAGGAATTGTACAGATTGGAGACAAATATGAGTTTACATTTCGGAGGTGACTCAGGATTATAGCTGCGTATTTCATTTTCGGTATGTTTACGAGTGTCGCAGCATCATTTCTTATGAAATCGAAACCTAAAAAGCTGAGTGTTGATTTCACATTGTGTTTATGTGTCACACAGTTACGTTTCTAAGACCATTAACTTTGTCAAATTCCCCAATAAATCTGAACATTTAAGTTACAGAAATGCGATAGCAAGAACGATAAACCTAGCTTAATAATTTTTTATTATGGCACATTTGAAACCGAAATAGACAATATAACTTAGTCATATTGCCAAAGCAGCTGAATAAAGCTAAATAATTAATTTTAGCTTAATTTTTATACAATGGAAGAAATAAATGATACATGTTCTGCTTGGCGCATGTTCAGTGTTTAATTACTATTAATTCTACTTATAGTTTTGACCTAAATATAAAAATCGAAATGTCGAGAATCTTGGGAAGGAAATGTATAGATTGTAAAGATTGCAGCAGTACTATTTATTAATATCACATTTTAAGGTTTACAGTTTTTAACTGTGTTTTTAAACTGTTTTCAAAGTTTTAAATCTAAAGAATGATTTGATGAAGAGAATAAAAAAAAAAATCCAGCTCAGTTTTTATTCACTTATATGGATAGTTGACGTAGGTGACAGACTGTACTCAAGGTAAAACTGTTTTAGATCGCATTGAGCTGATTCTTTTATAATTATTATGCTTGCAGCTTTTATGATTTTATGAACTATTTTGAAATTTTGGGCTATTTTTTCTTCATAACTTGTTTATTTTATGAATTATACTTTCAGACTAGTATAGAACATATGCAACATACATATTTAAGTGTTTATTTTATTAGAGTTTATCTGGTACTGTTAGTCATAAGACGTTTTTAGTAGTAAATAAATAGTTTTATTCTGATGCACAGTGTCTGAAATCTCATACACCATACTTTCTATTTTATTCCTATCTCTATTCTGAAGGTTTTTATAGAGGGATTTGACATTTATGGATTGTGATATATAGAGATATCCAAACCCCTTTGTGTTAAACACCTTACACTTAAAATATACTTATACTTAAATATACTTATAGCACACTTATAGCACCCAAAGTATATACTCTTTTATATGTTAATAGAAATTGTAACCTAAAATCTTGATGATTGTTATGCATCTTTGTTTTGGGTTTTAATCCAGTGATTTCGTGTTTTTGAATGAATGCAGGTTCTTGGACCTCTTGAATTTAAGATGAAGAGAGGGGCACAAGCATCGGACGAGCCTCTGAAGAAGAGGAAGGTTCTCCATGAGGACTCCTCTGATGAAGATGAGGAGTCTTCTCAAAGAACCCCCAGTCAGGGTTAGAGAGGAGTTTCCTTATGACACTTTACGCTCTTCACATGGCCATATTCTTTTGGTGGTATACGTTTTTGTAAGCGTGTTTATTTATTTTTTTGTCTCCCAGACTCAAGTCAGAGCGAGTCTCTCAGCGATGTTGAGGATCACAAACCCAGTTTCTCCAGACCTTCTAATTCCCAGAATGCCGAGGGCAATGAGGCCTCTTCCAAATTTTCAATGTATAACAGAGTCTCTCAGAAACTCATGGTAAAATAAACACCTCCTGTCATTCTTTTACTCTCTTGTCAGCCTGTTAATCATGAGTTAACACATATTAAAATGGTCTCCTGCTCTGTTTCCTAAAGGCCAAAATGGGTTTCAGAGAAGGCGAGGGTTTGGGAAAGTTCGGTCAAGGGCGGAAAGAGATCGTAGAAGCATCCACCCAGCGTGGTAGGCGAGGTTTGGGTCTGACCCTGAAGGGCTTCCAGGGCAACCTGAACATAGACTGGCAAGATGAGCCGGAGGTACAGCAACATTTCCAGAATGTTTCTTTAATATTGAAACCAAAACAATAGTAGACCAGGACCTTTATTTCTCATTTTTACTCTCAGCCAAGTGCTATAGAATCAGTGACGTGGTTTCCAGAAAGTTCTCCAGAGATCCCAGATGCAGATGAGCTGAAGGATTGGATGACTGTGGGCCAGGTATTGCAGCACATATTACCTGATGAACTGAAATGATTAGTTTAAGATCAAATGCTCATTCTTTAACTTTCTATGGTAAAAGTTGTTTTTGCTCAGCTGTTTGTTGTCTCTTGTTCACATGGGTCTGCTGTGCAAACAGTGTTTTATAATTATTAGCTTCACTAATAAACCTCACTATATAATAATCTCACCAACTGTAAATGTTTCACCAACTTCAAATATTGTATCATTCTTGTACAGTTATTACATGCTGGGTTTCCTTCATTTCCATCTTGTTTATGTGCATTTTGACTCCAGAAAATTCACCTCAGTGTAGTGCATAAACACTGATTTTATGTGCATTTAAATGCATATCAAGTGCTGCCATTCATGTTTTCTCAAGTGAAATTTTCAATTTGCATAAAAATGATATCGATTGAAACCCACTTCTTCATGCTGCTTTTATGACCTTGTATGAATTAAGAGATTAAATTAAATATTTGTACTTTATTAAATGCACCTCTCATACTGTAGTACTTTTTTACCTTTTGCAAAAAAGGCAAAATTAAAATGGCAAAAAAAAGGAAATGTGACAAGTTATAGGCCTAGTGTGTAAAAATATATACTTTCCCTTACACATTAATATAAATTCCCTTATGCTCTATGTCAAAAGTTTGGGGTTAGTAAGTTTTTTTTTAAATGTTTTTGAAAGTAGTGTCTTATGCTCACCAAGGCTGCATTTAAAAATACACTAAAAACACTAATATTGTGAAATCGTTACAATTTAAAATACGTTTTGCTAAGCTAAAGACTCTAGTTTTCAATGATCCTTCAGAAATCATTCTAATATGCTGATTTGTTGCTGAAGGAACATTTTTTATTATTATTATTGATGCAGAAAACAATTAAGTGTTGCTTAATATTTTTGTATAGACTGCTGCATTTATCATTCCTTGATGAATAAAAAGAACAGCATTTTTTTGAAATATAATTTTTTTGTAACATTACACATCTCTTTACAGTCACTTCTGATCACTTAAATGTGTCTTTGCTAAATGTATTAATTTCTTGTAAACATTTTTTACCTTTTGAAAGGTTATGTACATTCATATAAAAAATGTTATTTATCAGCTTCTAATGTTAATATGTATGACTGTACCTTTGCTTATATTTTTAGAAAAAATTAAAAATTGATGATGAAACTGAATTTTGCTCAGAGAATCTACTGCATCTCCTTCTTCGCTGCAAAGTGAGTGTCAAACATCTCTTATGTTTCTCCCGTTCTTGCATAAGACCAGACATATTGTGCTCGGTGTCTTGTAATAATGTAACATGTCTTTTTATTTGTATTTCTTTTCAGACAGTGTTTGACGACTTGGAGGGGGAGGAGATGAGGCGAGCACGTACTCGATCAAACCCTTATGAAACAATCCGAGGGGCTTTCTTTCTCAACAGGTGGGTGGCGTCTCCACATGCATGTAATAACAGAAGCATATCTTTTCTAAATTTCTTTCTCTCGGTTTTCTCCTCAGAGCTGCTATGAAGATGGCCAACATGGATCATGTTTTTGACTATATGTTCACTAACCCAAAGGATTCTCAAGGGGTGAGACCACAGTTACACAAGCTAGAAATATGTGCTGTGATTACGTTTTTGAATCGGATGTCTGTGTGCAGAAGCCCCAGACGCGTGATAAGGATGGTGAGTTGCTGTATTTTGGAGACGTGTGCGCAGGACCGGGAGGATTCTCTGAGTATGTGTTGTGGCGGCGGCGCTGGCATGCGAAAGGTTTTGGGATGACGCTCAAAGGATCCAATGATTTCAAACTGGAAGATTTCTATGCTGCTCCCAGCGAGCTCTTTGAGGCCTACTATGGTATGAGTTTCAACCATTTAAACATGAAAACACAACAATCTAATATTTTTACTGTATTGGTTCATATAGAAATATTAATGTAATACCTACACTGCTGTTCAGAAGTATGGAATAATTAAGATTTTTCAAATGTTTTTTAAAAGAAGTCTCTTATGCTTAACAGTGCTGCATTTATTGAATAAAAAAAAACGAATTTTGTGAAAAATTGACAAACTGTTTTCTTTTTAATGTATTTTAAAATGAATGAATGCAGAATTTTCAGCATCATTACTCCGGTCTTCAGTGTCACATGATCCTTCAAATCTTTCATGATCATTCTGGTATGCTGATTTATTGGTGCTCAGTTATTGTTGTTACTTAATGGTTCTTCTTATTATTAATAATTTAGAAAACAATTTTTGCTGCCTAATATTTAATATCAAATTTGGAAATCATGATAGAATAGAAAAAGACCAGCATTTATTTGAAATAAAAAAATATTTTGTAGCGTAATGTCATATTTTAACAATTTCAGTATTTAATCAAGGTAACTTGAATGGTAGGGTATCGCGGTTTACACAAAAATATTAGGCAGCACAACTGTTTTCAACATTGATAATAATTGGAAATGTTTCTTGAGCATAAAATCAGCATATTAGAATGATTTCTGATGGATCATGTGTAGAACTGAAGACTGGAGTAATGATGCTGAAAATGACCCGCTTTACCATCATAGGAATAAAAATATATTAAAATAGAAAGCAGTTATATTGTAATAATACTTTACAGTATTACAGTTTTTACTGTCTTTTTAATCGTGTAAATGCAGCCTTGGTGACTCTTTTAACAACTTTAAAATTAGTTATTATTCCAATTCCATTTACACTGGTAGTGTAAATGTTTAATCTAGTAATCGAAATTTTTTTAAATGAAATATTATGAATTTCTTTTGAATGTCTCATTACCGGTGTTTCAGGTGAGGGTGGGATTGATGGCGATGGTGACATCACGCGGCCGGAAAACATCACTGCGTTTCGTAACTTTGTCTTAGACAGCACTGAAGGGCGGGGCCTGCACTTCTTAATGGCAGATGGGGTAAGACATGCTCTTCTCTGATTGGTTAAAATGTGAATATTGCTTTTGTGTGATTGGTCGATATATTCTGATGGTGTGTTGCTCCTCAGGGTTTTTCTGTGGAGGGCCAAGAGAACATTCAGGAGATCCTGAGTAAACAGCTCCTTCTGTGTCAGTTCCTCACTGCCATGTCTGTCGTCAGACCAGGTATTGTGTGTGTTTTTGTTTGTATGCATATAAATAAATTGGCAATAAAGAGTATACATTCTCTTGGACTTTTTTGCAGATTTTTATTGAGGTACATTTTGCAATAATTGGTACAAAGAAAAACTCAACATCTCTGGTTTTCATGGGCCTCCATTTTTTGGGCTTTTTGTGTATGATTTGGCCATTTTCTTATTGGAAGCTGAGTTGTCTTCCTGGTTAAATCACTCAAAATCCTTGTTTTCCTCAAGGATGTTTTTCATTTCACTCAGTCTATTTTTTTCTTCCTCTTCGTGAGTTTTCCTTCCTTTGATGTTGAAGAAGTATCATTAAAGCTTGATCATGCTCCGCTCTAGGGACGATCAATAGTGCGTCTTCCATCTCTGTCATGACACACTATATCCTCTTTTGGGTTACCATAGGTCTCATGGCTTTTCTCAGTCCCAGACATTCTGTTTTGGAGGACAGCCAGTTCTTTAACAGCGGTTCCAAATGATTTAATCTCTTTAATGATGTCTCTCTCAAGGCTTTGAAGATTATTTCATGCTTTTTCTTGCCTTGATATTATTGTACAGCCTTGTCTCAGATCTGTTTGGATTTTATCTTGGGATGCGCCCAGACACGAGTCTATTTATTCTGAAATCCTGTAATTAGGAAGGTAATTATGTGACTACTGTATGTGAGAGAAGACTTGGTTACTTGAGAGCTAATTTTAGGTGTATCAAATCAACGGTAATACTTTTTACGGTTCTAGCATTGAAGAGCCATATTTTAAAACTTCTCTAGAGTACATTGTTTTTCTTTTTCTGAAGTCTACCTTTTTTGTCAAAGTTTGTGTTTAGTTTTACATGAACATTTTTCCATCGTTTCTCTTACCTCTTTATTTTAATAGGCTTTTTTTTGTTACTGTGCCTTTAAGATTATGTAAATGACTTCTGTTGTGATTGGTTGTTTTCTATTATATGGTCCGTTGAAATAGATGAATTTTAATTATTTAAACACTTTTGCTTCCATTTCTCCACACAAAATCTTGTGTTTTACAGGTGGCCATTTTGTGTGTAAGACGTTTGACCTGTTCACACCGTTCAGTGTGGGCTTGATTTATTTGCTGTACCTCTGCTTTGAGAGGGTCTCGCTCTTCAAACCCGTCACCAGCCGGCCTGCCAATTCAGAGAGGTGTGTGTTCATTGTCCATGACTTACTTTGAAAGAGAGCAGCTGGCAGTGGACACTGAAACTATACCTTTATACTTTATATAACTTTAAAACGGGTGTCACAGGATGAATTTTGAGTGTTTAGGTTTTCAAATGATAATACCTATATATTTATACCTATATACTATATATAACTTTAATTTGTATACCTTATACCAGTATATGCATTTTTTCCTGAATGAATATGCAGAAATTGGCCTTAACTTCAATGCTACATTTTATTTATGTTTGATTTACACTGCTCGTCATAAGTTTGGAATAATTTAGATTTTTTAATGCTCTCATGCTTTATACAGTATATTAAAATAGTTTAATAAAGTTGCATGAACAACAACGTTGCCATTGTCAACATGCCTAACAACGCCCCTTAGCTGTTATAAATTCACTGTAAACCACGGCTTCTTGGGGCTTATTACTTTTATAAAACGGTTATTCCATATATCTAGTTAGGTTTCACAAAATAAAACAGAGCAAATAAAGTGTAATAATATGAATAAAAACAGTATTCTTCCACCAAACAATGTAGTTCCTCAGAAACAGTTGTGGTTGCAACAAAGTGGTTGCCAAGCAACACACAAAGTAAACAAAGGTGTAAGTTTGTAGAGTAATTTACAACAGCTTTGAACGCAGCTCAACCAAATCAGAATCAAGGACCGGAACTATCTGTTTTATAAAATGTAATTTATTCTTGTGATGTGAAGCTAGAAATCTTTTGTAGCATTTCCTGAATTAATTTAATTTTCTTTTTTCCCCCCAAACTTTTGAATTGTAGTGTATCACGGCCTCCAAAATATTAACTTTTTTTTTTAACATTGGTAATAAATAAAATATTTCTTGAGCATCAAATCAGCATATTAGAATGATTTATGAAGGATCATGTGAGACTGAAGACTGGAGCAATGATGCTGAAAATTCAGCTTTACATGACAGGAATAAATTACATTGTAAAATATATTATAATATATATAGAAAATAGTTATTTTAAATTGTAATACTGTTTCACTGGTTTATACTATTACTATATTTTTAATTAAATGCAGCATTAGTAAGCTTGAGAAGTCTTTTTCAACATAAAAACCCTAATTATTCAAAGAATTTGACTAGTAGTGTATGATTATTTTTTTACATTTTTTATGATCAATTCTGATATTTTTGTACTGGGTCTTTTTTTAATAATAAAACCGTAAAATAATAATAAAACCCTATTTATTAATGCACATCCCTGATTATATTATGCATGCTATTATTATTATTATTATTAAAAATAAAAAATTTCCACTAATGTCGCATAATGTCACTATTGGTTAATGAGCACGTGGTACTGATTTTTAATGTCTGTCTGCATGCAGATATGTGGTGTGCAAGAGTTTAAAGCCAGGCACTGATGCTGTCAGAGAATATATGTTCACCATCAACCTGAAACTGAATCAGTTCCGACACTCAGACAGAGACGTTACCGAAGTCGTGCCTCTGGACATCATTAAAGGAGACACTGACTTCTTCCAATTCATGATCAACTCCAACGAAAGGTATCGCCATCGCTTTCTGACCCTCTTTTGTCTCTCTCTCGCTGGCTCTCTCGATGCATTCATTCATGCTTAGGTTTGTTTATTGAACTCTGATCCCTTGTCTTGCAGCCATTGTGCAGTACAGATCAAAGCCCTGGCTAAGATCCACACGTACGTCAGAGATACGTGAGTCACACATTCTTCCTCTGGTGTGTTTCAGGGCATTCATCTCAATCTCTCTTTTATTTGTTTGTGCACACGAGTCTGTATGAGCGTCACTGACAAGGCTGTGTGTCTTTCTAGGACACTGTTTGAGCCCAGGCAAGCAGACATCCGCAAAGAATGTTTCAAACTGTGGGGGGTGAGTCCAAAAACTACAGCCACGAGCTTCATAGTGGACTGAGGTTTAGTTTAGTGCTTTGTGGTGCAGTCTGAATGATTTCAAAGAACATTGTTTTGCGTAGGTATCTGTAAGGACAAACTGATGCTGATTTGAATGATTGAGACCTTGAACGTCTTTATCTTTGTGCAGATTCCTGATAAAGCCAGAGTCACTCCTCCAACATCAGATCCGAAAACAAAGTTCTATGAGCTTGTGAAGGTAAGAGTGTGTGTGGGCTTTGAGAAGTTAGCTGGGAATGTGGCAATGCTCTTGTGGACGTGATGTTCTATAATAGAAGAGCTAAGTGGGCGAATCAAATGAAGCCTATAATGTCAGGGTCATAATTCATCTTAAAAAACAAAGGAAAAAACAAACAAACCGAAATTAGAATTTTGGTTGAGAGAAATTAGCAAAAGCTTTTTAAAACTTTCATTTGGACGTTTTCCAGTGAGATTATTGATATATTATTTAAAATGTAAAGTTTAAGTTTACTGTAAAGAAAATGTACTGTACTAAATTTGTTTCATTTTATTTAAAATAAATGTTTTACAAAAAAAAATTGGAATCTAAAATTGCTGTAAAATCAAATGATATATGATAAATGATATAAAGTGAGTTATGTTCCAAATTTGAAGTTGATATCACAAAAATGGAGGTTCCTGAGAGGTTTTTTGCATTTTCCTGTCACAAATGTATACATTTCTGTCACAATATTTCTTCTATTACTAAATAGTCACTAAATATGGAACCTTGAAACTCAAGACCTTTCCAACGATATGTGTACTGTAAAGATTAGAAAAAGTTTTGGTTATAAAATACTATAGTAAATTTTGTAATATGACACGTGACGGGAGGAGCCTGGTAAATGGATTTTTAGTGCCATTTCTATGGTAAAACAATGCCCAACTTTAAAACGGGTTTCACAGGATGAAGTTTGAGTGTTTAGGCTTTCAAATGATATATAACTTAGGATAATTACATAAATGTGTGATAAGAAAAAAGCTTATAAAATGAGTGCCAAGCTGACAATTAACAGTTTAAAATACAGTTTATATTTTATATAAATGAACTATAACTGTATTTCTCTGCTTACTGTCTTTTTATCTCAGGGCTCAGATATGGACAGTTTTAATTCCATACCAACTGCACTGAACTCAGGAAATCTGGATAAACTACAGCACGTACTGGACTACAGGTGCATTGTGGGAGGAGGAGAACAGCTCTTTCTCCTGGGATTTGGGGTAAGGAATATGTCTATGAATGTGATATTTATATTTATATAGCCTATAATTATAATGTGTTGTTTTCATGTATATCCTTATATGCTGCTTAAAGAGTGAAAAACCTAAACTGTGGGTGTATGCAGAGATCTCAGATCTACACGTGGGACGGCAAAGCCCCGTCACGCTGGAAGATGCTGGAGAACTTCAAACTGGAGCTGCCCAGAGACACACTACTGAGCGTAGAGATCGTCCAGGAGCTGAAGGGAGAGGTGAACAGAGAGAATTAGTGTTGAGAGAGAATTGTTAAATGACAGCTTTACATTAATACTGTAAGGGGAAAGAGCTGTTATTTCAGTAAAATAATGACATGCTTATTTGTAAGAAGTTTTATTTTGAGTCTTTTTATCTATGCTTGTAGGGAAAAGCCCAGAGAAGAATCAACGCTGTGCACGTTCTCGATGCTCTTGTTCTCAACGGCACTGACGTCAGAGATCAGCACTTTAACCAGAGGTCTTTGCCAGAACCTCTTCCCAAATTATTACATGTAGAAATCATTTTTTATATATATTTTTCCTGTCTTTCACTAACTACAAAAATCAAAAAGGAGGAATTTTTCATTGAGAAGTTATTTTATTAAGCAGGTTTATAAAGTGCAATCTTTCCACTAAGATACAGTTTGTGACGTGTAAACAATAACAGAATATCGCTGTGCATTGCTGTATTGATTTAAAAACATTGCTATAATTCATTATTATTTAAAAGACTTCAAAAGGTCTTAAATTTGAGTAGAAAGTCCTAAATTCATGAAGTCATGGAATTAAAATTAGCATGCACTGCTAATTTGTTTTGTTTTCCAATACAAATATCTGAACATCTTTAAATCAACATTTACTTGAGATATAAGGATGAAGATATGACGCCGTGGTTTCTGAGAAACGAAAAAATTGAGCTTATGCAAATATCTGTCAATGGGGAATAGGGCTGTGCAATTAATCAAAATACCTCCCAACGATTATGAAAATACAATAATCGAGATGGAACGATTATTGCGCCCCATTTCTAGCGGTGCGCTTTCGCACCTCCATAAAAGCCCAATTTTATGTGCAAATCAGTAAAATCGTGTAACGTGAATTTTGCAAGATGGGACGTGCTTGATTTATTTAAATTGATTAGATGTATTCATGTTTTTAAAAGCGCAAACAAAAGAACTTGCGCTGGTCCTCGGGAGGGGGCTCCTGCTGCTGACTGTGCTTAATATTAATCAAACAACAAAATACAAAGAAAAAATCACTCACTGTTTGCGCTGGTCCTCGGGAGGGGGCTCCTGCTGCTGACTGTGTGCTTAATATTAATCAAACAACAAAATACAAAGAAAAAATCACTCACTGCTCTTGACTGAATGACTTTAGCTTTAATAAGTAACAAATTAAGTTTAATTATTACAGTGAAGACTATGCTGTATATTGGAAATTATATTATTCATATATATATCGATCGCTATCTTTAAATAAATCATTCATTTCAAGTTTTGGTTATATGGCCCACTCATGATTACAATATTGACCAAAATAAACGTGATTATGATTTTTGTCATAATCAAGCAGCCCCCTAATGGGGAATAAAACCATGTTTTCCCTTTAAATCTATTTTTAAGTTGTCTGTTGACACATATTTGTTTTTGTTTTATTCATAAACTCGCTTCATCTTGATCAGTTTCTCCAAAACAAGACTTTTTATCGAATGTAATTTTGCCTCAAGTAAAAGAGCATCTTTTTTGTTTTTTAATAGATATGATTGATATTTTGACCTCACAAATCAGAAAATAAAAACAATGTTGTTCTTGTTGCAGAATACAGATGGCCGAGAAGTTTGTGAAAGCTGTGTCCAAACCCAGCAGGCCAGACATGAACCCCATCCGGTAATATTCCTTTCTCTTTGCGGTTGTGCTAATTGCCATGTCAGTGACAGCCCTGGGGGCCAGGAAGTCCTATGAACACCGGAGTGTGCAGTATGTAAAATGAATGAAGATACTGTGTTTTACTAGAGCCTAGACAGGATCTTTCATGTTTACGATGAATGACATTCATTAATTTATTCTCTCTATATTTTTTAGAGTAAAGGAAGTCTATAGGTTAGAGGAGATGGAGAAGATCTTTGTGAGGTGCGTTTAACCATGGCAATCACATACATGTAGATTATTTACATTTTTTTTAAATTAGATATTTTCATTTTATTTTTTTCCCTCAGGTTGGAAATGAAGGTAACCAAGAGTTCGGGTGGGATGCCAAGACTGTCGTACACAGGCAGAGATGACCGTCACTTCCTCCCTAGCGGCCTTTACATCATCAAAACAGTCAATGGTGAGAGAGGAAGACGAAGTAACTGGATTAAATTAGTGAAGTGCCTTGTTAAAGATGAATTTGTCATTATTTGTTTCTCTTTTTGACAGACCCATGGACCATGGCGTTCAGCAAAAGTTCTAAAAGAAAGTTTTTCTACAATAAGCAGACCAAAGAATCAACTTATGCACTGCCGCCTGGTTCTGTGGCACCATTCCAGTAAGTATTAAAGTGCCAATATGAAGTAATCCTGCATGACTGGCACTACACTGGCAGCCGATTTTGGATCGAAGCCCTGAGCAAGAAAAATTGCATTACATAGCTAGAATTTTCAAGAAGATTTTGCACAAATATTTCTTGCCTTTATGTAGCATCTGACCTTCAAAGAAACGAGTATCTCTCTAAACCCCCAGCATTCTTTTAAATGTCTTTTTTAATCGTATTTTTTCTCAGATACTGGTTGGTTATTGCTCTGTAGTTTCATTAAAGTAATGTTCTGGGTTTAAAGCAAGTGACATGCTGTGGCGTGCTTTCGATTACAATGGAAAATAATTTTGACTATTCCTGTTTATAGTAATGTACTATAGAGCAAGGCATTCCAAAGTGTAAATACTTTTTTTTTTTTAACATTTAAAATAATTATCCCACACAAAAATCTGTTTTGTGAGCTTTAAATGAATTTGCGTTGTCCTTTTAGCAGTGGGAATTCTGGTTATGTGTAATTAATGTAATAATATTTGTGATCATAGACATGACAGAAGGTTTGAAATTCAATATATAATTTATAACTAGTCCAGTTACTTATTTTTTATCAAACTAGTCTCATGTTGAAGTTTGTATGTAATGTATATTAATTTGATCATACTACAGTACAGTGCCTTTCCTCATAGGTTTCTGTGCGCACAATTTTTTCTTGTCAAAACTTTTGGTATTAATCGACAGACACCACAGATGCAGTCAGGAGAGTTTAACATTCCTTTAATATTCATTGTTAATGTTTAATTGAATATATACACTATTATTCAATAATTTGAGATTGGTCATATTTTTTTTATGTTTTTGAAATAGGTCTCTTAAGTTAAGACTTCTATTATGCATTTATTTGGTCAAAATACAGTAAAAACAGTAATATTGTGAAATGTATGTTGTATGTTTCATTTTAAAATGTAATTTATTCCTGTGATGCAAAGCTGAATTTCAGCTGTAATTTTTAAGTCTTCATTGTCACATGATTCTTCAGAAATACCATTCTAATCTGATTTGGTGCTCAAGAAATATTTCTTATTATTATCAACGCTGAAAACATTTAATATGTTGTTAACAGTTAATATTTTTGTGTAAACCATGATGCAGGATCCTTTAATTAATAGTGAGTTCAAAAGTATTAATTGCTTAAAAAAATTGTACTGACCCTAAACTTGTATTTAATGTAAAGCATTCTCATTCATAAATCACCCGTATGCTTTCTTATTTCATAACTTTTTTTAAATTTGTTTCTCTCTGTTCTCCTGTTTCTCAGTGCATGTCATCAAGACAGGCTGTTTTGGGCTTGGGAGGAGGGTGTCCGAGTTCATGACTCCCAGACGCGGGTCAACCCCGACAAACTGTCTAAAGATGACGTACTTTCCTTTATCCATCAGCACTGTCAACAATAAAAACACAAGTACACATCACACGGAACATAGCATAGACTGGACGTTCTCCTCACCACCAGGGGGCACTGTAGCTTTCACCAGAGTCTGCTGAGAAACATTCAAACTCATTCAACGTGTTTCTTCACACTTCAAGGCTCTCTCCAAAATAGCCCCTGTGAGTTATACGACAGGGCGTCTTGGTGCTCGGTGGTGTGTATCTGCGTGTGTCCATTATCTTCAGAGGAGAAAGAAACTTAGATGACATTGCTTTTCCCTTGTCCACATGTTTTTTTCTCCTGAACTTCAAAACCTGCTTCCTCACATGAATTATTCCTCCACTAATCGATCAGATGTGTAGCTGCAGATTCTACTCATCAGTGCAAACCATTAGATAACCATGTAAAACAGCATGACAGTGTGCATTCGCTCTACTGTGTGCATGCGCTGCCTTGTTTTGCTCATTTAGTTTTTTCAAACATTAGAATGGGTATTACTTGCAACGTTAGAATGGGTATTACTTGCCATTTCTGGTGGTTTTGGAAAAGGATTTGAATTTTAAACCTGTTTGTGATGTTGATTACATTAAACCACTGAGGAAGTTTATTCCTTGAGTAATCGTGGTCCGCTTCATTATTCGTCTATTGGGTTTAAAGTCAATGAAATGGAAGCAGCGACAGATGTTTTCTTGCGTGTAAAAAAGAACAAATGAAGGGCGGTGGGACTACGTTCTATTCATCGGTTGTTGATTGGATTTTGAGATGTGGGTGAGACACTCAAAAGCTGTTTTTTTTTTTTTTTTCGACAAAAGCTGAAAGACCAAGAAGAGCATAACACTTGATTTTATGCTCCATTGTAGGAAAAGAAAACTGTGACGGAAGATTTGGAGCTGGGACCTCTGCTGATAAGACACACTGTCTGAATGAAGTGTTTGAACAATGAAAACTTACAAATGCTAGAAGAGAACTAGAATTTTTTTTTGTATGCGCTATTCACGTTACATGTAATTTCAAATCAGCTGTTCAAGGAATAGTTCACCCAAAAATGAGAATTTGCTGATAATTTACTCACCCTCAGGCCATCAAAGTTATTGATAACTTTGTTTCTTAATCAGAACGGATTTGGTGAAATTTAGCATTACATCACTTGCTCACCAATGGATCCTTTGCAGTGAATGGGTGCCATCAGAATGAGAGTCCAAACAGCTCATAAACGCGTCACAATAATTAACATGTAATCCACACAACTACAGTCCATCAATTAATGTCTTGTAAAGCAAAAAGCTGTAAGAAATAAATTTATGAAGATGTGAAAAAAAGAAAACTCGTTTGAATCAGGAGAGAAATATGCTCAGATCAAACACAGTTTACAAACAAAAACTGTTCAAAATAAAATATACATTTCTCCAAATCTTGAATCTACATCTTGGATGGCCTGAGGGTGAGTAAATTCTGAACAAATGTCAATTTTGGGGTGATCTGTTCCATTAATGTTTATATTACCGAAAATTTTCATGCTTTATAGTTGCATATAGTTTACGTTTTGTGACGATACATGCAATCATACATTTGAGATTTGTGATATAGTATACGTCTCTTTTGTTGCTGTGCAGTAATACGGTTATATTCTGTGATGAATTTAAAAAAGCAGGTGGTTGAGAAACTGAGTGTTTGCTTTTGCAAAAGTCACCTTAGGAATGGTGTGGCTACATGTTTGCTAAGGTGCCTTGTGGTTGTTATGGTGTTTGGGTGGTTTCTTGCAGATATTCTGGTCCCTAGATGTCCCTTCTTTAATAATAAGTCCATGGTATTTTTTTCCCGCCCATTTCATCCGCCACCGGTCTGATTGTGTTTTTCATGTCAAACTTTAATACTTTAGGCTTAGGAGTTTCTTCACATCTGAACCCCAGGTTTTATGATTCAGGATAGCGATGCCACCTTCGCAGGAGGAGGGAAAGATGGAGCATGGCAGGTCCAATTTTTTTGTTATGTCATATTCAGTACACTTTTATATCTGTATTTTGCTTCTCTAGAACAACAATACATGAACTGTCACCATGACTGACACATCACTAATGAGCATATTGTGTATCTTGCTGTGTATTTTCATTTCTTCTCCGAAGCTGTAGGTTTCTGGCATCTCAAGGACGGCAGGACACAGGCGGTCTTTTGTATGCAGGTGTAATGAGAGTCTCCCACACCCTGTTTCCCTATCCATCTCTTGCTTTGAGTTTGTGACTGGAAAGCTAAGCAGAGATTCACCTCAAAGGACAATTAAATTTCCCTTTAGATGGCTTCCGTTAGAGAGGTTCCTCTCAGCCGAGGGCTCGCTTGCTCGCTGGCTGGGTAACCAAATGGGAACTTATATAAACTCTGTTTTTCCCCCCTCCCCGTCTCCATTCACACACTCTTTCTTTTCTGGCCAAGAGGCTCAATGTGCCATCTCCCGAAAGCAATTGAGCAGCGCCGCAGCAATACTGCCCATCACTAGCCGGTAGGGAAAGCGTCCAGAAGATATAACAGTATTCTATCTTCCCGCTGGGCACCAGAGTTTTATTAAAATTAAGGTTAAAAGTCTGGTCATAGCGAATTTGTCTGGAAACTCAAATTAAATTGACCAAAGGGGATTCAATTACAAAAAAAGAAGAAGAAAAAAAAAATATATATATATATTAATTTTTTTAGAGATGTTCTATAATGTTACCATAGAAGTTGTGACATGGTATCATAGTAATGATATGTTTTTATAAATATTTATTTATTTTATTTTTATGATAATGCATAGTCCACAGTTGGTTATTTGTTAGTTTACCATTTTTGGGCAACATAAGTGCATTTAGACATTTGAATCAAACATTTTGAAAGTTCAAATGTTCGGTAAATTTCACTTTACAAAAAGCACTGTAGTGGTATATCATGCTATGGTAATGATAATATTTGGTAATATGATTAATATATAATATATCAAAGCTACTAAGATTTCCTAATTTTTAATCATGCCATTCCATTTTATTTAAATAGTTTAGACTATTTTTGAGCAACTTAAGCACACATTCAGTCATATGATGCCAAAAATGGCTGTCTAGATAGGCAGATCACTAGAGGTAGTTTCTGATTTATTGTCAAAACAATAAATTTATTAGTATTAAAAAATGGCCATCACATACATAAATAAAATGGTGCTTTTATATAGTGAATGATTACCAATTTAGTGTAGGCTATAGTATTATGGAACTTAAAATATTTAAACTTTTTTTTTAGCATAGCAGCATTTTTTTTTTTTTTAGTTCAGACGTTTAAATCGAACATTTGATGGCCAAAAATAAGCTATTTATGTTGGCAACTCACTAGATTTTGACACAAAACATATCGATGTATCAGCAAAACAATATCCTACTAATTTATTAATATAGAATACATGACTTTAAAGAACATTTGGAGCTTTTTTGTTAATTTAGACAGCATTTATGAACATCATAGATGTGCTTAGATGTTTAAATCGAACATTTGATGGCCAAAAATGCTGTTTATGCAGACAGCTCACTAGATTTTGAGACACAGCCGTAGTGCTTTCCGATTTATCAGCAGATTCAGAACTCGTGTATTGACATGTGGTGCTGAGGAGTAGCCTACTTGAGTATTTTTGCTATTTATATTGCGCAACATCGACGTTTACCACAGCTCAGCCGGATTTTAAAAGCCGTGGGTGTTTGGAAAACGGGATATTTGAAAATCGTTTCCCCACATCAATAGATTAAACGTCCCCAAAGGTTTCAGATCCATATCTGACACCACATCTCATAAATATTGGATGGCTTTTGTAATATTAAAAATTGATGTTTTCAATTTAAGTTTTCAAAGCGGAGTCGGTGTGTCCTCGCTGAGGGAGGGCGAGAGGAGGTCCAGTCAGACTCTACCTACCTGCCGATCAAACGCGCGCTGTCTCCTCAGGTGCGCGAAGGGGTCAGACTCAAACGGACCGGTGATGCTCGCTCTGCCCAAATTGTAAGGAAAGCCAAATTTCTGCGCCGATTTTCTGGGTTATATTACACGTGTGACGCCTGAGACGAGTGAGACCTAGATTTGGGAGTCATTTGAAGACTTACCTCAAACTCCCGAGCAGCTGCAATGGCATCGATCGGGGAGTTTGATCCGTTAAACAGCAGCGTACCTGCCACCAAAATAGAGATCACCGTCTCGTGCAGGTAAGAGCGAATATCGCTTATTATAATAGTACTGATGTTCATAATTCGGTATGTCTTAAAAGCGGTGTGTCTTTTCTCTCTTGGCTTTCGCTGTGTATGTTTTTTGTTCGTTGGAAAAATATTAGTAACTATTCAAATACATTTGCATTTGGCCATTTAGAAGATGCCATTAAACCAAGCGTCTTAAAAAATATACAAAGCAGCGGCTGAGGAGTTAAGCAAAAAATAAACTATTGGAAATGTTGGGTAGACTATGCATTTGCGAGACACGTATCACTCTGGCTTGAGGGGAATTCGAGTTTCGTATAAATACCATGGTACATGAATATGGCAATCTTTCAGCATCATGGTAGGCTATATAGGGCAGCAACAACCATACCCTTACAAAACAGTACTGTGGCAGTACTATGGTACAGTCAGGCAGTGTTGGGCAAGTTACTTCCAAAATGTAATACATTATATATTACTAGTTACTGTCTTTTGAAAGTAATTAGTTACATTACAATATTACTCTCTCTGAATTGTAATGCATAATATTCAAAATAGTGGTCAGTCTTTTTTTTCTCTATATTTTCCAGGTCATTAACTTGACATTAGGTCAATCTTGATTTTTTGGATATATATATATATATATATTGACAGCATTACTGTACCTTGGTATTACCACGTTCTTTTTTTGTAAGGGTTTTAGGTGAATCTGTTTGTCCGAGTTATCTGTTTGCATTCATGACTTGCAGATTGTGTCTCAAAATCTAACGAGTTCCCTACGTAGACAGCATTTTTGGGCATTGTACGTATGGTGCATTCGACCTCTTTCTTGGTCATATGTGATTTGTGGAGTTAGATATCATAATTATGTTGATCTTTGAGTCATATTTTATTTTTGTTATCTATTTGTGCTTAGCTTTCATGTTGAAAATCGCTCGTAATTGTCTTCTGCTGCACGTCAAGTCTTTGCTGCCTGAAGAAATGATTGTTTAGAGGCATGTTTTGAGTATTTTGCATTTTATGATTTGTTGCTTTTCATAAAATGTAAATTAAACAAACACTTAATCCAAATCACAGTTTAATCTGTGTTTATAAAGGGCGACCTTTTTTAATGCCTGGCTGACCTCTTCCCTTGCTGTGTCCCTCTGGACCGTTCTCTCCTTGTTGGACAGACACCACTGGCAACAAACAACAGCACAGACTCTTTCCTGAATAATGAATGTGTTGACTGCTGATGCTGTCTGTGTGTTTGCATAAAGCCTTCACTTCAGACACTGCTTGCCCAGATATCCAAGGGAGGTCTCTTTATACATGAGACACATCTGCGGCCGCCAGGCTCTGCCCGCTGAGCCTTCAGCAATAATTTGGCTGAGGTGGAAGACGGGGGCAAGAAAATAGAACAAGTGGTACCTCATGGTACATATTTCATAGTAGCCTGCTGGGATATGAATGCAACAGATCAGGATTTATGAAAAATGAAATACAGCAACGAAATAAGCTCCGCTTCTAGATGCCCAATGGGTTTCT